TTGGCGGAAAACATAACTCCCGCCGTGTCAGGCCCGTGAAATGTTTTGACAGAAACTGGCAGTTTTGGCACTTTATCATGTTACAAAGTCAACTGTGTTAAAGGAATCACAATATCTCAGGTGGTTTGGTTTTTTTTCTTTCTCCTCTCCATCAAATTACCATTAACATCACTTGGAATCTCTCTTGATTTCCTCCCTTGTGTGTGGCATAACTGGCTGCGGTCTTGCTGCGCCCCGTAAAGTGATCTCAGATTATGCGGTGGTGGGATGATGAGCAGCGCAGGCGAGAAACTTAACGCTATCTGTTGCCTAGACCGCGGGTATTTTACACTGAGGGCTTTCACTCAGGTGATCCTTTTTGTTTAATTTGAAAATAATCTGGGTTTGTTTTTCTTTTCCCCGACCAGCTTTTGAAATTGCATACAGCCTGAAGAACAGTGTGTGGTTTAGGCTATTTCTGTCCAACAAGAAACAGTGATGTGAGTGTTCCTGTCATGGCAGGAAATAAAACCCTGCTGGTTGCAAGAATAAGCTTAATAACACAGCGAGTTTGGACTAAAAGGCTGTGCAATTTGAGTTTAATAACATTTATAACCCAGAAATCAAATACGAGCAAAACACATTTTGAAAATAAATCAATTTATAAAAAGTTATATTTCTGTCAGGATTGATCAATCTAAAACAAGCCTCTGTTTTTCAGCTTTGGTTAAAACTGTCGGCCAGAAAGGCTTTGATGTGGCCACTTAGTTCAGGACGATACTCTAGTTCACCACATGAGTCTAAACCAATACCTCAACGCTCCTCCTAACACAAACCATATACCAGTTTCAACCCCAAAACCAATGTCTTCCCTGGAACTCACCAAGTAAACTGCACCACTGAGAAGTGTTTGTTCTCTCTCAGACTTTATAAGGAGCCGGAAATACTCAATCATCAAGACAAAATAATGCATGGTAATGGAAGTCAGCACTGGCCCAGAAGAAATGGTTGCATGTCTCTTGCATCTATGGACAAATACAGCAGAATGTTTTTATATTTGCAACTGATATCTGATTTGGTGGTCCGTTTTTTCACATCTAAATTCTTCTTTTGTATGTTTGGTTTTCTTTTCTTTTAAGTCTTTGGTGGTTGCATTGATGCAAACATGTCGCAATGAATACGAGACATCGTCAATCACTCTGTTGCCATAGTTTCCAAGAGAAAAATGATCTTAGTGTTCAAACCTCAACTGATGCAAATCAGATATTAAATATATTTAAAAAAACATCATAGGGCCGTTTTGGTCGATGAAAAGTTTGTTTCTTGGATGAAACGTTTATATTTCACATCTTTAAAGGAGTGAGAGGATTGGTTGTTGCAGAAAAACATATAAAAGTCAAGGGTTCGTCCAAATGTCGAGAGTATTGGCAGCAGAATCAAAGTGCCAAACTATTTCTATTCTTCTCGCTGAGGAGAGTTCATGACACAAACTCATCCACGAGTGACAATATTTCTCAACACAGAGTGAGACCACTCCAGGCTGAAGGCACAAAGCAGACCCCTCACAGCTGGTCACCGTGTCGAGGTCAAATTGTGAACAACCGCTGTATAATCTTCAAGAAAGCCTCTGGATAAACAGTGGAAACATTTTTATAACCTCTCTTAACCTTTAAGTTCACCTGGAGTCTCATTGACCGTGTTTCTAGAGGGGGCCGGGCGAGGGGGTCGACGGGACGTCTGCAGTATGCGTCTATTCCTGTGTAGTGTCTTGTGTTTGGATTTGTGAGCGTGTGTGTGTGTGTGCGACCGTGCTGTTCAGAGAACTGCTTTTATCTCAGAAGTGACCAATGTTTGATTGAGCTCAAAAGACGTCCTGTAACAATTGTACACTTGAATAAATAGTTTTGCATAATCATAAAGTTACCCAATCTAATGTAGCATATCTCTAAAGATTGAATAACTAAATGATATTAGTTGGTGGCCTTCAGGGGTACAGAGAGCACTATAATATATCGCTCATTATAAATAAGAAAATATAAATATTGTTACTTGACATTTCATATGACATGGTAATTTCTACGCGTGAGATGGAAAGCTACTTATGTCTACTCAGTCACATTTAAACACTGAGGTTTACTGGGAAAGAGGAACTAAAGCTGAAAGGTTGACAAGGGTGGAGACAGAATTTACGAATATAAGGAAATGGGGCCATTTAAAGGGAATGATGATGATGATGATGAAGAAAGAATGCCAAAGAGGCGAAGAGGTCAGAAATAAAGTAACTCTCGTAACAATAAAAGCCTAAAACTGAAAATGACTACGCATCTGCTGTTTTGAATGTGCAGTCTGTTTTCGTGCATCAGAAGGCAGATTACCGTTCACATTTATGAATTTGACAGGGTCACATCGGAGTTTATTTCTGGCTACAAAACCCATTAAACATCATAGTGGTCTTAATGATGTGGTTGATGAACAGTTTCTTACTGTTAGAAAGCCAAGTTGTAGCGTGAGTGTTTAGGTTTGACTGGCAGAAATGTTTTTGGCCTGTGTTTCGAAAAGTCGCAGCGTTGCCCTGATACACACAGGTGTTTGCCCTTGGTGAGTTCTTCCAAAATGTTGATAGCGGAACATGTTCATGCTTTTTAAATTAAGTGCTGTTAGTGCTTTGGCTTATAAAACTTTAAAAACATAAATCCATGATTAGGATGGGCTGAGATCCAGTCGGCACAAGAAGTGAGAATAACAGTTTTACACTCTTTGAAAAAAAGAGAAAATGCCCTTAAAAAAACTCAAGGCGGCAATAAGGCAAAGTGTTGAATGCAAGTTTTAAGAGACTTGCACAGTGGGTTATGCACCAGACCTTTAAGCCTTTGCCTATGTGTGTATGCCTGACTGTGTGTGTGTGTGTGTGTGTGTGTGTGTGTGTGTGTGTGTGTGTGTGTGTGTGTGTGTGTGTGTGTGTGTGTGTTAATCACAAAAACCTGATGAATGGGTGTGTGTTACAAGCTCCGGTCCTGTTTTGCTCCCTCTCCCCGCCATAAACTCTGTTGTTGCAATCTAAGCCTTTTGTTGCAGCCTGGCCTTTTAACTCGCAGGCAGACGGGCTGCTCCTGGTAACTGGCAAAGGGGCCATAAAAGAGCCCTGTTCTTTGGTTTTGGACAAACCACATTAAACAGGAGAGGGAAAAGGGTTTGAACAGGTGGACCGGCATTTAGCGCAGTATGGACAGATCTTACTTTGACGGATCACAGCACGGAACCGTCAGCTGTGTGTGTAGTGAGATGGAACATTCTGAACCTGATAAATGTTGTGTTGTGGTACACGTCCGTGTGAGTAATGGACTTCACATAATGAGCCAACATGATGCACTGTGAGCCTGGAAAATCTACTTGAAGTTTAAAGGTTTAACAAGCCTTCACTGACCAAATAAAGGAGCCGTGGCGATGGATTAATGACTAGGATTACAAAAATAAACATAAATCAAAAACAGCAACATGCGTACAAGAGAAGATTTGTCTTTAAAAGCAAGACATCAAGTTCATTTTAATGCCATTTTGAAACATTTCAAAATTCAAAACAGTCTCTTTACTATTGCAATGAGCAATGGAGAAACAAGAGGTGACTACAATGACAGATTAGTAGCAAGGTCAAATTAGTGAGCGCAAAATAAAAGATATCTTAAAATATAGAGGGTTATGAGGACGAGCGAGGGGGAAGGGCACATAAGGAGCGTTTGGTAAGAAGACGGGCTAATATTAAGTTTAAAGAGAAATGTGGATAACGGGCATAATCTATAAAGTTCCTAATTGAATGTCCGTCTTCATTATTTCATAGTGACCTTAGTGCTTCTGTGTATCCAGCACAATACCTCTTTATAGAATTGATTCAATTGTATTAGCAGCATATCATGTCACAAGGTTGTCTATAAATCATGACTTGAACAGGAAGCTGCCTCATCCTGTCATTTTGAAATATCAGCAGTGAGTAATAAACCAGCAGAGATACTGTGCATGGACTTTCCCCGTTTCTCACTTCATCCGTCCAACTATTCCTGCAACAAGGCTCCACTTCCTACTGGCCCCTTTAGCTAATCCTCTCAAACCCCTGATAGTTTTACGGCTTGGTGTAACTGGCTTTAGGATGAGAGAAGAAAGGGCCGGCAACCACAGCTTAAACCAGTAATTGGTTCAGGCTTGAAAACTGATACGGACGCCTTGACCTCTTGCCAACCTAGCAGCCAGAATCCCTCTCGCTCCGTCCTGTCCGTGTGCCCGCCCGCCTGAGCTCCCCTGGTCAGAAAAACAAACATAGGACGGAGAAATGTTTTTTCCTGGCTTACACCTCGGTCCCAGGGCACGCAGCCCACAAGCTAACCAGCAAATAAACGGGGGGCAAGAGGCCGGTCTGAGGTCTGACTGTCACACAGTAAAAAAAAAAAAAAAGAGAGACGGAGGGAGACAAGACTGGGGTTCACTTGTGCAAAGGAAACTGAGATAATCCAGGTTTCTCCTGCAGTATTTCTAAGCTCTTTTGCAACATTTGAGATCCTAATTAAGAGTGATGCATGAACACTTACATTACAAGATCACATTTGTAATTGATTCTAATAGTAATATACTAACTAGGTGGTGTTTCAGTTTCCTTCATCTCCCAAACAATGTCCATATTTCTTCGTAAAGGCCATAACATTCAGCATTAATGCAGAGGGGTTAAGCAAATTGATCGATTATTAAACGAATGGAAAAATACTTCTTGGATTCAGCTTATTATTATTTATTTTTTGTTGTGTTTTTTTAAATAGTCTGGAATGTATCACTTGTCTTTTCGTTGTACTGATCAAACATATCAAGCATAACAAGATGCCTGGAAATATGTTGTAGGCATTAATAATGAAGTAATCACTAGTTTTTGCACTATTCATGCGTTGGGTTTCAGCTAAATGTAAGCTGAACAGAAAGGAAACCACAATGGACAAGAATAAAGTTCTGACATGTTTGTTCTCTGTCCCCCCCTACACCAGGTATGCTGGAGATCAAGTCAGTGGATGTGGGAGTCGTGGCCATCAGGGGCCTCAGCAGCAACTACTACCTGGCAATCAGCAAGAAGGGAGAGCTATACGGAGCAGTGAGTAGCTTCAGTACCTCTACAAAAACCTAATCAAAGTTCTTGCAAAAGAGACGTTTTTCACCCTGAATGGGAAAACCCTGCATCTTTGATTTTCTTAAATGATTACTAAAAACAAGGCTGCAGGGCTCTCTCACTTCCAGAAATAGGAACCACCGTCAGTCAATAAGAGCCCTCCTCTCTGCTACCTTGCTTAGCTCTCCACTCCATTCAGAAATAGGAAACAAAATCCTTCAGTTTCTCTTTTCTGCTTCAGTCCCTCTGGGGAGAGCAGCCCTTGTTTCATCTGTTTTCTCCCTCTCCCTCCTTTTCTTCATCTCATTCTCTCCCTGCTTTTTTCTCTCCTTTGCTTGCTTTGAAAGAGCCAACTTTCAGCGAGTCTCTATGGGAGCCACACCACAGATGTAATAACACACGGTAGAAAGAGACAGAGAGGCATTCTGTTGCATGGCCTGAAACTGAATTCCCATGACGTCTTCTGCTCGCTGCAACATAAGCCATAGTAGAGCGGCAGTGAAGGGCCGGCGTTCGATTACACTTGATGGGTTTACACAGTGCCTTCTTTATCCGGTCGTAATCAAATGAAATCATTGTTTCCAGGTTAATGCGCAGCAGGGACATGATTATGATTGCCTTTAAGTATAACCATGATTCAATTTGTATCGTAATATAATTCTTCAAAAAAACAATGATGACAGACAGATGAATTCACTGTGGTCTGTGCAAAATGAATCGTGCTCAACAGTTATTGCTCTATTAAATTGGTGACGATATTTGTTATGAATTCATCACTACACAGTTTATCTGTTTTAATCCACCATTTTAGTGGAAAGACGATCAGCACGCAGACACACACACATTGTTTGGTCGTACTTAGCACCAGCGCACGTTAAAAAGCTGCACAGTGTCTGTAAGATATTTTAATTTCGCTTTGGGAACATTCAGTTTTACTTCTGGAACCAATTTAAACAGCTGTGGCCAGAAACAGCGAGAGAGAGACACAGCGAGAGAGAGAGAGAGAGAGAGAGAGAGAGAGAGAAATAGAGAGAGACCAAGCTTAATTGTGTGTGTGTGTGTGTGTGTGTGTGTGCGCTTGTGTGCGAATACCTCTTTGCTTGCGAATAACTGCATCCAGTTAACTTGCTTTCTAAGCGGCATTAGCCTTAAGCGCAGGGGCAGCTTCCAGTAAACTGACAAACGTTACTCTCTCAGATCATTTTCTCTTTATTTACCGGTGGGTGGTCATTGCGGTAAAGTCATTCCACAAAAACGATGCCCTTTTCTGGTGCACAGCCCTAACCTTTAAGATGTCACGTCTCATGCTAACCTCTCTGCCCTCAGTCCTCTGACACACAAACATGTCTACAACCATAAGTCTCATGTCCATTTTGGTTAGAATTGGCCATGATTACGCTGGGGATAGTGTAGCAGAAAGAAATAAAACATCATGTTGATTGCTATGCTCAGAATAACAGCTAACATCTAAAGCAAGTTGTAAAAGTAACATGTGTAACCAGAAAACATTAAGGTTAAAAAGAGAAAATTAGAACATTCTTTGGTTACGGAGGTTATGAGTAAGAGAAGACCAGACTCAATCCATTTTGGGAGATAATTAAAAAAAGACAGTAGGTAAACAACTACAGCTGTACAGAAGAAGCCTTCTGGTTTGGGGCAGACACTTTCATATTACTGAGAAATGTTAAGATCTCACACAGATTAATCCTAATTCTGAAATTGACTCATCTTTACACCACCTGTTATTTTAATAATTTATATTTCAACATCACTAGTTCCTAAAGCTCAAAGAGATATTCAGTTAAGTGTCAAAGAGAAACTGAAGCTGCTTTCTTTTGTTAATAGAGAAACTGGAATAAGAATAATCTGACATTTCCACTCCTTGTCTTTCCCCTGCAGAGGGACTATGGTCCGGACTGCCGTCTAATTGAACGCATCGAGGAGAACAAGTACAACACCTACGCTTCAGCAGAGTGGCGCAACAAGAAGAAGCACATGTTTGTGGGACTGAACGCCAACGGCAAGCCAATGAGAGGGAAGAAAACACGGAGGAAAAACACTGCCACTCACTTCCTGCCCATTGTGGTACAACCACGATGATTGGACATATCAGCCATGAGAGAGCTCTGCACACTGCAGTGATCAGACTTTTCTGGAGTTACATCGATGGCTACATTGGACAGGTCTGAATCAGATCTGAATGATGCACTGAGGAGGGAACGAGCGGAAACATATGGACATTTTATCTCTGTTGGAAAAAGACATTTCTATTTTTAAAGAAAGAAATAAGATATATTGCTATACAATGTATATATTATTTTCTGTTTTAAGTTATCAAGTACATTGGCACAGTAGAAAATATGAAAGAAATGACTTCTGTGCCAACATTGGATTAGTAACTCACATTTCTCGATTTGTGTCTATGTGAAATGCTTGACTGGGAAGAAGTGAAATGACTAAATATGTAAGAGAGGAAAAGTAAAGAAGTATTAAAGGAAAGCTGACGGCAAAGGAAAGGATAAGAAAGGAAGAAATGATGAGATGAGGATGAGAAAGAATAGGAGGGAAGAAGCACCAACACAAGTCTAACACTATCATGTTCTTTTCTTTACATTTATTTATTTTGTGTAATATTTAACAAAAAAAGATCAAAAACACAATAATGACAAATTATTGTCTTTTTACCATTTATGCTTCTCTTTTTGAATTACTAATCATTTAAACCTGAATAAATATAAAAATATATTTGTCTTTAAGTTGTATGACTGACTTTGAATCATTTTAGATATTATCACCGTTCAATGATTGGTTGTTCACACTGTAACAGCGAAGAGATAGAAATACATATCAACTAAGCCTTCAAGCAGTTGACTGTATGACCCTGTATTAGATCCACTGCATTATTTGTATATTACAATGCCATTTTTTGGGAATTAAAAAAGAAAACGATAAAGCAACATTTCTATCCAAACAACTCCAAATCCATCTGATGAGACAATGAGATGAGTTCAAAGGTTTAAAAGTGAATTTGAAAAAGCATGACACATGTCACTCATGGCCCAAACTTTCTTTAGCTCTTAATCACATATCATGGTCTCAATAGGTAAATGGACTTTTACTCAGTCAGCTATGATTATTTTGTCAAACTACTATTTCAAAAGGTCAAGAATTACCTTTCAGAAGTTGTTGGCAATTTAAAAGCACAATAAAAGTCATAAGTTAAAAGCCTATAACAAACTGAGTCGGGTGAGCCATTTTAAAACCACGACATGAATCAGGAATCTGTTAGAGATTAGACTTTTGAAAGGAGTCCAGCAGAAAACCTGGTTGATGATTTCAGGGGATTTCATTTCTCGCTGCAAGATTCTCTCCCCTTACAAGTACACATGGCAAGCATGGCTTCCTGGAGGATAAACACCGTCTTTTCTGTGATAACAACAAAGACAAAACAGGCTTTAGAACTGGCCCACAAGCACACACACACACACACACACACACACACACACACACACACACACACACACACACATTATGAAGGCTGGGGGAAGAGGTGTGTGCATCAGTGTGGTCCAGCAGCTGGGGAAAGCCTCCTCCTTGACCTTACTTGTCTGAAAGCTGTTGCTGTGCCCCCCTGAGGCAGAGAGACACATGGAGCAGGGCATATGGTATAACGTAAATATCACTCCCTTGTTTATCACCTGATTCGAATTAACTATGATGTCATGTTTTCTTTATTCTTCTCTCGCTTTCCCTCTCTTTAAAACTGCCTCTCGTGTTGTTGCCGTCTGGGCCCTGCCATTTCCCCTCAGTGCTGCGTTCACATTCCCATTTTTTTCATTGTTTTTCAAACTTTTGTCATGTCTTGGTAGAGTTCAGATAGATTCCGGCAATTAGCAGGATCAGACCTAGAGCAAGGTTATCGCACAAACACACACAGACTTCCTCTGCCCAGGGCTGCAGCAGTTGTAATTCGTTCATTGCATTCATCACTTTCAACTCTCTGCCATCTGTTTCTCTGTGTGTGTGTGTGTGTGTGTGTGTGTGTGTGTGTGTGTGTAGGGTAATTTCTGAGAATGATGGAATCCACCGGAGTCGCTCCGTCCCGCTGTGTTTATTACTAAAACGTCCTAGATCCTCCTTTTGCGCTCAAGAATCCTCGATGCCTAACGCTCACGTCCAACGTGAGTAAGTATGATGCATCAGAGGGAGAATCAAATGTCCTTTCATCCTCCCAGGGCATCTCGTCCTTTGTTTATATGATTACTTGGGTGTTCTGTAAACGACATATCAAGTACAATTACTTTGAAATGTGTTCAAGACACTGACCTCCACCCCCCACCCTTTTCCCCTAACTCATAAAGTTCAAGGGCGAGCATTCCTAAGAAAAGATTTCTTTATTATTTGATGGTACAACTTTAGCGATGTACATATGTAAAACTTCCCGTATAAGTCCTTAGTATAACATGGGACTCTGGAGCTGATATTTGAGACCAATTCGTGCACTTGTTTATTCAGAGAACTTGGAATCAAGTCTGCATATATAACATGTGTGTACCTCTTGGAATGGCTTGATGTATTTTTATTGCAACTTTAACATGACTTAATGTTCTCTTGCCTTCTCCCAAAATGCATAACAAGGCCAGACTTTAAAAGCAGGGCATTTATCCAAGACAGATGTTTCACACTGATTATCAACCCCAATGACATCTGAGTTATTCTGCGCAGCGGCACCAAGCCACGCATCATTTCTCCCATTTCTACAGTGCGCCTAACATGTTTCTCAAAACTGTTTGCCAATGTCATTTCTTCGTGTTGTGCTGGGGTATGTTTGGTTAGTGTTTGGTTTGTTGAGGCATGTGGCGAGGCTCAGTATGCGGTTTCTGTTTTGACTACATCAGGATCTATCGGACCTGTGTCGGACCTCAAATGAAACGTACACCATCGGCTTCACACGTTCACAGCTCCTCTGTTTGCTCAGAGAGTCTTGTGGCCGTGCGACCTGACCGCAGCAGCAGCTGTGAATATTTTACTTCCCGGGGAGAGAGAGACGGAGAGAGAGAGAGAGAGAGAGAGAGAGTTGGAGAAGGACGTGTGGGTTTGGAGGAGAGGTGAATAACTGAAAGAACCACAGTCCTGGGGGCATTTATGGCCGTCTCCTGGGGGGGGGGGGGGGAGAGAGCGCGAGAAAGAAAAGGAGGAGGGGAGATGTTTGCTGAGAGGGCAGCAGTTTGGACGGGATGCCAAAGGGTGAAAAGAGGGGGTGAGTGGTTAAGAGGAAGAAGGGGTGATGGGGGCGATTAAAAGAGTTGCCAGAAAATGTGGGGTTGGAGGGTTTGGGGGGTGGTTGAAGGGGTATTTGCAGAGGTAAAGAGGGTCGGGGGGGCAAAGGGGCTTGGGGGTAATCATTGGAAGCAGACCAAGGGAGTTCCTGGAACCCAGGAGGTGAACCAGGAGTCCTCCTCCTCCACGCATGTTCAGCTACTTTTACTTCATTTATTTCCCCCCCAACCATTAAGTCCTTCATAGCTCGACTATTTGTCATCATCTCCTTTATCAATAGCACCTTTAGCCCTTACATGGAATCACTCTATATTTTTTTATTTGATCATTTACTCACTACATGTTAGTAAAGTGGGGTGCTTGTACTTTCAATCTACAGAGTATTAACACAAAAGTCTGGAGCTCCAAACTGCTCTTAAGCCTCACATATCTCAGATTTGGTTACACAAATCTCACAGCTTATTCCAACCCTGTTTAAAAAACAAGCAAGCAGACGTTTTAAAGCTAAGAAATGCTCTGCTATGTTTTTTGTTTTATTCATTTATTTTAACAGGGACAGTGCACATACATCTAAATATCTGTAAATGTGCCAGAGTTAGCCAAGAGGCTATTTTTCATCTGTAGTCCCTGGACAGATTTTGTAAGTCACCCTAAACACACGTTTCAAAATGACAGTGTAACCGACTGTATGCTTGCACTCCAGGACCAGCAGAAGTAAGTGACTAGCTTTTGAAGAAAGTCAAACATCTTGGTGCTAAAGAGCCACAGTGCAACACAGTGTTTAAAAGGAGTGACCTTTATTAGTAAGCAAATATATGGACTCCAACAGATGATGATGCTGGACCTGTGAATAATAGAGCTGCAGCAACTAGCTGAATGATCAATAACTATAACTATACAACAAACTCACTTTTTTAATACATGCTTAATGATTGAATTATTTGATATGCAAAATAACAACATTTTGTTTTCAGTGGCAAATATTGAGATGCTTTTTTCTGTTTTGTATCAATAAAATGTATATCTTGGAGTTTAAGAATTAGTCTTGCCAACCAATCACCATTGAAAAAAACGAAATAGTCCGAAAGCAATACATGTCATTGCTGTGTGTTATGACAGCTTGGTTATAAGTTCTACAGCTAATGGCCAAAAATGTATACTGATATGCTCTATTATTGTATAGGACAGCTTAACACACAATCCCCTCATTTCTCTAGTATAATAGTCACACACGCTTTGGATATTTTGCTTTTGTTAAAAAGCATATTAAAAATAAAAATAATTTGCAGATTTAGTGGCTCATAACGAAAAAAAAAGAATTCTCAAGCTACTTACAGTTTAAATATGAAAAATTATATTTAGATAAATACAACACTGCCACATCAACTAATTCACACACACACACACACACACACACACACACACACACACACACACACACACACACACACACACACACACACACACACACGCCACCCTTTCTGTTCTGGTTCAGAGGCGAGCTGTACCTGGAGCCCAGCCTCGGCTCCATCTTCACATCTCCTGAGGGCTTCAAGTTTCCTGCAACAGGTGGCTCAAACATTTGCCTTGGCCTGCACTGAGATGAGGCCTCTGTTTATCAATTCGGAAAGAGCGAGGAGAGTTAGGGGAGGGGGGGAAGACAGAAATAAAAAGAAAGAGGAAAAAAAACTTGAAACCTGTCAGCAGGAGAGAGAAATATTCAGGAAAAGTCACAAATGTGAGTCACTCAAGTAGACTGTTTCATGTTAATGCATTTGCCTCGTGGAGATAAAAACAAGAATGTAAACATGTATTTTGTACTAATATTTTAGTCAGGGCTTTGATAAACCTAGGAAACATTTTCCAGAGCCCGAGCCAGAACAGCCAAGACCGCAAATATAATCTCAACTCCTTTCGCATGTTTCTCTCATCTCATTCCTGCCTCGCTTCATTCATTTTGTTTCTCCCTCTCCCCTCTGCTTTACCTCTCCTCTCCTTTCCTCACCTTTACTCCTACACCCCCTGCTCTGCACAGGAATATGCCAGCAGTCTAAATGAAAATATATTTGTTGTTATTGTTGGACTCCTCTCCTCTAATTCCACTGGCGTGATTTAGCCATAGACCCAGGGTCTCTGTGGCAGCAGAAAGCCTCTAATAGTGCTCCATCACTGGCTGACTGACAGTGAGTCAACATGGAGGGCATTAGGGCCTGACATGGGATCAAATAAAGGCTAATTTACTGGCTGTATGTCTGTAGGGAAACCACATTAACCATTCCCCTCCCCGCTTTTCTTTTTAAGTAATTAAATTAGCTGATAAGAATCAATTAATTGAAGAGAAGCAGTTATAGTTCACTGTAGTAGCAACAGACACAAAATGAAGACCCGTTTTTGTTCCTTTGGAAGGCACATGCTGATTT